AATGGGAAAGAATTTTAATTTCAAAACTTCAACAATTATTGTCCTCAGTTCCCAAACTCCTAGATAAGGTGATGTAACAGTGGTAAACGTGCTTCTGGCCCAAATTTTTTGGAACGTGTTGCAGGCATCAAACTCAGAATTAGCGTATATTTTCAAAAAGCAATAAAGTTTAGCAGTTTGAACATTTAATATCTTGTCCTTGGCCTACATTCAATTGAATATAGATCAAAAAAGGATTTGCGAATCATTTCATTCTGTTTTTATTTATGTTTTAAAAAGAGTCCCAACATTTTTGGAACTGGGGTTGTATGTTTATATACATATACCATACGATAGCGTCCAATGCCACATCTTGAGAACAGCTCAGGAATGGCGCACCTAGCCTCCAGATTCCCCAGATCCAAATCCTATCAAGCCTTCATGGGAGGTGCCAGTACCCCAGAGGGACCCCAGAGGGACTCCAGTCCACGGTGGGATGTTCCGTGGATTGTTCACATTTCTCACACCAGTTCTGAGGAGTGTTTGCCGTGTGGCATGGTGCTGTCTGTGGGGAGGGACAGGCGAAGGGAAGGGGGGAAGTTTTAGGATGTTTTTGCTTTCTGAAGAAGAAGACAATCGTGCTCTTCTGGTTTTTCAGGTTGTAGTCTTTTCCCTAAAGTCAAAGTCTAAGTGGACGCATTATACACTTGGTTACACACCTTCTGCACATGTTTGTCAACACACAAACACAAACCACATGTTCCCCTTCCTGTTTCTGTCTCCATCAGTGTGGCCTGGTTCGCCTTCACCGTCTGCATGTCCGCCGGTGTCTCCACTCTCAACAACTACACCAAGAAGGTCCTGATGGTGGGGCCCAGACACAGCTCCAGCCTCAACGCCTGCAGCTTTAACTTTGTGGGGCTCCTGCCACCTTATTACACCCCTGGGAACCCACCCATGACCCTGGCCTGCCCCCCGTCTCCTCCCCGGATCTCCCACTTGTCTCCCTACTATAAGCCTCTACCAGCAGAGGTGCCGGCCTCCACTCCGAGGCTCACGCACTCCCACTCCCTGCCTCTACCCCACTCTGACCCCTTCCCTCCTCCCCCCTCGCACCCTGCGCCTGCATCACCGTTCCACCGCCTGTCCCTCCCCTCTCCATCTCCATCACCTCCTCCGTCCGTCTCTGTCCACCTGACCCTCCCTCCACACCAGGAGAGCCAGTATGGACCAGAGGAGGACTACAGCCCACTTTGAATATCCAGACTGGAGTCCTTCTGTGACTAGACGACAGATGCCAGCCCTGGCATTGCAGTTTAATGTTTCTTATTGTCTGACTTTACATAGTCAGCAGTCCAGTGACCTGATGAATCAGCTTTGATCAAAATCAGTTCAGCCCACTCGCCAGAAGAAAATATTGGCACTGTACGTTTCTGCAAACCACAGAGGCATTTGCACTTTTAATATGTATCATATCACAGTTTCTAAAGTGACGTAGTACATGAGCTGACTTTGTTTTCGGGAGGTGGAGGGGATGGAGGATGGAGTGTCACCTTGGCAAGATGCTTGCCTCATGCCGGACCAAAAACTAGACGATTTTTAGTGACCGTTGTTTTGTTTTTTTCAGCAGCTTTTCAGCCCCCAAAGTTGAGTGTTCTTTTGCAACCTGTCGCTGTTTTCCAGTGGGGAAAATGGCATAAAAAGCATACAGAAAGCTATATATGAACAGATTTTCTCTCTCTAGCGAGGGTAGACTCGAGGATCTCAGGTCAGGACTTGGAGCGTACGTAGTCAGAGGCTCAACTGTATAACGAGGCTAAACCATGCTGAGAATAAAAAAGTATGAATAAGCTTTTGTAGGTCAGGAAAAGACAGCTGATTTGATTTTGGTAATATTTCTCAGGTGGAAGTAACAGGATTTAATTAGATTATTCACACATGGCTTAAAGTTCAACTGAGAATCTAAAGTGATACCTGAATTTCTCTTTCTTGGTCCGCTGATCCTAATTACTGTAATTTCAGTTACTGTGTGTCCCTCTGCTTACCAGTGCTGGATGTAATTAAGTACATTTACTGAAGTACTGTACTTAAGTACTTTTACTTTACTTTAGTATTTTAATCTCATGCCACTTCCTACTTCTACTCCACTAAATTTAAGAAGGAAACATTGCACTTTTAATCCACTACAATTATTTGATAACTTTAGTTACTTTACAAATTAAGAATTTTACAGCTCAAACAATTAGTTAGTTGATAAGAAAATAAATTGGCATCTATTTTGATAAACGTCATTTTTTACTCAAAAGCATTTCATGGTTTCAGCTTCTAAAATATGAAGATTTACTGCTTTTCCTTTTAATTATTATAATTTATTAAATCATTCAAAATTATTCTGCATTGATTAGCCTGTGTTTTTTTATTTTTAGAAACATTTTTATGATTGTACTTACAGATTTTTGCTTAAGTGACATATTAAAGGGGCAAAAAGTGAAATCGTTTCACCGCTAGGTTTGCTGTTGTGCACTGCGTGTAGACCAAAACAAAGTGTGTCATGAGCCACACCTCCCTCTACCTCCGCTCTCCACCCCCCCACTCACCTCGTCTAAACTTAGTTTAGCAGTTAGCGATGTCTTTCACTCACTCTCAGTCTCTGCTGTGTTTAGCTATTCCCCTGCCTACTTCAATGATGATGGTACCTGTAATAAATGTAATATATTTGCTGAGATGGAGGCGAGGCTCAGTGACTAGAGGAGCTGGTAGAAGCGCTCTATAGCTGTAAGTTACTCCAGTAGCCGGTGGCAGCCGACTCGGCTAGAGCCATCACCGGATCCCGGCTAGTGCTAACACCGGGAGCTAATGCTAACGTTCCTACTCTTCTCCATGAGTGAAAGCGATGTTTTAGCCTGGCTACATTTTACAATGCTAATTGCAAATGTTAGCTGGGCTGCCGGGCTACTCACCTAACACAACCGTAACGCCTGACCCATTGCTGGGACCGAGCCGCTAATAACTCAAGCTCCGGACATTAACCCATGCTACGATTGTAACATTAAATTTAATTGAATCGACATAGCGACATGTGTCTAACGTTACTGTAACACTAATTAAAACAGACATTTGACTATGTTGTGCCTGTCCAGGAGAAGAAGAGCTAGCGCCGAGTCAGATTGCAGCCCCTTTAGCTCTCGCAGTGCTCTCCACCTTGGAAATGCAAGGCCAATGTTAATCCGAGTTCTGTCCCTTTCTTTATCCGACAACTTCTTTGCCAACAACCGTTGTTTCTTTAGAGGTAATGTCGGATCCTGGTCGTCTTCATGTGGACGTTCCGCTCTCCGCCATTTCACTTCGAAAATACGCGCTGCCATTGTTCACTGGCTGTAGCCTTTTATAGAGAGGGAGGGCCAAGGGCTCCGAGAGGAGGGAGGAGGCGGCGATTCACATGAACGTACATGAATGTGTAGCTGGACCGGCTTGTAAACAATGGGCTGGAGATGAACACAGAGAGAGGGTGTGTGAGGTCGTGCTATACTCCAGATGAAATTACACCTCTAGTTCTTCACATTGCAATTTTTTAATTCCTTCAATCTAGAAATGATGAATTTCCGCTTATTGCCCCTTTAAGTGCAGGACTTTTATTAGTGACAGAGTATTTTTACTTAAGTAGAAGATCTAAATACTTCCCTCATCACTGTTTTGCCATTGCTGGGCTTTTGATTTTCCTGTAATGCTGAAAATCATGTTTACTTTGTTTAGATTACTTTAACAGTACGTCAGTATCACTGCTGCAGAAGTTCTTCTTCTTACAGCCTTGTATGGTGGTGTTACTTACTACTTAATCAGCTCACCTGGGTACGTGCTGATTTGGATGGTTAAGATCGTTTGGTGCATCTTTAATTGACATTGCATTTTTTCTCCTTTCACAAGAATTAAAAGAAAATATAAAAGAAATTTAAGAGAATGTTGCTGCACGTGTCCCATCACTGCTTTTTCTGCGGGGATTGTGCCCTCAAACCAGGTATTTTAAGCTAAAACATAAATTAAAATAATCCCTTCTTCATCCCACAGTGGGGACATTTACAACATAGGAAAAAAAGCACAAAGTATATCGGTAAAAAAAAAAAAAACGCACAGATCAGTATGATAAGTTAACTGTACAAAACAAAGAGCGACATAATAAGCAAACAGTATAAAAACACAAAGTGATATAATAAGTGTCAAAAAGAAGCAAAATATAATAAAGAGATAGGCTGAATGTCTGATTTCAGATTACTGACTGATGTTTTTGACACCATAACCCAGTGCTTTTTGCATAAACCTAACCACAACTTTGTATATATATATAAATTTTCAATGTATCTGCTACACCACAGGGTCCAGATTTCACCTGCGTCATTAGCTCAAGGTCCACACAGTTTAATATATTCAGTATCATCATGCATGTTTGGCCATGTTGCTGAGATAGTTTGCTGTCTCTGTCAAGCAGCTGTCTGTTATTCACTCACTCTACAGCAGGAAACAGCACTTCAAAATAAATGCTCAGTGCTGAAAATTCACTGTACTGAAAAATAAAGTGTGTTTTACAAACTTGACATGTTTGGGATTCACTTGTGGTCCATTCAGGATGGACCTGTGACCCACCAGTTGGGAACCACTGTGCTACATAATATTGTGCAAAAGTAACATATCCATCTGTGGTTTGCAAAAACGTACGATGCCAACATTTGTTCCAGTGATTGGGTTGCTCAGTTCTGATATAGTGTAAAGTGTCTGTTTTATGAACTGCACACAGCACAGTGATGCTTCATATGCTGTATTATTCAGAAAAATCTTGCTAAAGCTATTTCAGTTTTCATAGTTAAACAGTAAATATCTTGTTTTGGCCAATGCACAACATTTAAATAAATTTAATCATCAGACTGCAGACTGCCTTTTTTTTTGCAAGCCTCAAATGACAAACACTCATGCAACTCTTTACTCCTAATCATGACACATGGAGAAAAAAACAAAAGAAAAAGCATCAGTTGTTGGTTGTAAATCAAGTTTTAATGTTGTAAAAATCATTGTCATCCATAATGAGAAATAACGGTAGCAAAAATAAAACAGCATCAAACATACAGAGCATCATGGGAAACATATTTACACATTATATCTCACGCTGTCAGAGTCGAGGCAGGCGCCTGTCTGTCGCGCTGGCTGGAAATAGAGCAGATATGATCGGTAATACGGTCGGATTTACAGATAGTTGATTAGTGAATTCAGGTAAGATGTTATGTTTCATACATACAGGCTTGGTGTAACTGAGAGTCTGTAAAATATTGTGTTTGCTGCGTTTAGAAATGATTGAAGTCCTTCAACTTTAGGGTTCATTACTCGGACCTAAAGTAGTTAATATAATAATGTAGTGTCAGAGTTTGTTTATGATTTGACATTGCACATCCACATTTAATCCAGTTTGATGTTTTCCCAATCACAAATAATTACAAAACTCGGCTGTATTGTTTTACTGATTTTACAGGTTATGTCATCACACCATTAGATCACACACAAACCCACAACAGGTGACATGAATGGATTCTTTACGACTTCAAACAGGCACAGCTTTGCCGTCGCGTTGTAGTTACACTCTGTTTAATTAGTGGCACGATATATAAAGTAAGACCAGAGCAGATAAATGAAATAAAATTGATGAACTAACAATAAAATAACAGGAGAAAAAAAAAAACTAAAATCATAAACTCACCCCTTTTCATCCAACACTTATATCCATATGTAAATGTACATAAAAAAAGACCACAGATTTAACTCTTCAACTTGCTCTTGCTATAATCCAGACATCTCCATAGATCTTAATTTATCATAGCATTTTATATCTTAAGGCAAAATTTGTTCCGTTAACAACAAAAATTTTCTTAATCCTTAGATGCCTTAGAAATCCAGCCCAAACTGTGGGTTGAAAATACACTCAAATACACCTGGGATTGACTGAGCCTATCTGACAGCAGGCTCAATCAAACACAAGTGTGTATTTGAGAGGCTCAACAGGTCTGCTGTAGCTGAATTTACACTAGCAGCTCAAATCTGACATCCAAAAACAAGCAAATATAAACACTGTTTACACCATCTGAGACTAACACCAGATTTCAGTTGAGAGAGTAGATCCAGCTAGAAGGTTTGGGGCTGGGTGGAGCTAGCTTTAGTGTCCTTCTCACGCAGTTTTCTTGCGTAAGACAAAGTAAGTGATGGAGGAGATGAACGTGAGCGCGAAGGAGATCCATGCCAGGATGTAGCAGTGGCCGTACCAGCCGAACTTCTCGTCGATGTGGAAGCGGTCTGTGTAGATGGAGGCCGCGATCATGATGCACAGGCCTGGAGGGAAGGAAGGAAGGAGACGTCAGTGAGGTTTAGAGGACACAGAGGGAGGAAGGATTTTAAAAAGGAAACTGAGAAAGACACTCACAGGCGAGGAGCTGGAAGACGCCAGAGATGGTGAATCTCTCTCCTTTCGGGAGGGTGAAGAGCTGAGCCACAAACACAAAGATGCCCAGGATGGAGAATATACAAGCGAGCACTGAGCTGGCCTGCACCGCCTGGAGGTAGTCTGCAGGGGGAGCCAGAGAGAACGAACACAATGAAGGTGCTGTGTTTCTGACACACCCAGGAAACAGTAACACTGCAGTGACACTGAGATTATGACATTCAGACAGTTGCTGACAGGCAGGAATGTTACGTTCAGACACCCAAAACATTTTAGGATTTTAAAACATGCTGATGATGCTGCCATGTAAAGACAAACAACGACTTTGTCTGCTCTGAGGGTCCAAAGCTGTAATTAATCTATGACCCAAACCAGTGTTTCTCAAACAAGACGATTCAGTGACAGCTGGGACCCAGTGAGAGTTATGGGGTATTACACATGTGCAATGCCACTGCAGATGCCATGTTACAGCAAGAAATACAGGGACAGTGTCCGCTCAGGTGCTTCTGGGTGTGCCTACAGAACCTTTGGGTGCGCTCAGCCTGACCGAACTTTTGCCTCGAGTAGATGGTGGCCGATGCACGATAGAAAGCATTTGTTTATGGTTTTTTATTAGGGACCTTTTCAATAACTGCAGAATTATCTCACCCATATCTTTATTTTTCGTGTAAAATATATTATGACTGAACCGACTGCCGACGCCTCAGTGCGACGAATCAGTCCCCATGTTCTGAGATAAAGTGCCAGCTATTGAGCCTTTCAGCAAGTGCAGACCAGATCTCTCTGCGCATGTGTTGTACCCCAATAATTTGACATGACATGGCGCCGTGATGTTTTCTCTTTTTAACCTCCTCGTTTTCTAATAGGGGCACAACGCCCCTAGGGGTACTCTGGAGTACTGCAGGAGGTACATTTGATTTTTTTGAAATGCTATTTTAAAAAATATTAGTCATGCATGATCCCTAAAGTAATTATACAACAATAACATCAATAAAAAATGTAAAAGTAGTTTGATAAAGCACATTTTATATTCAGTTTTCCTGTTTTCAGTGCAGTTTTTAACCATCGTTTATGTTTGTTCTCTGCGCATTTTCCACCAAAAATGTTTTGCACTGAAGGGGTACTTGGCTACACGTTACCATATTGGAGGTAGGCAAATGTTTTACTGTCAATTTAGCTGCACAGTTTGATTTCTGTTCTGACACATGGCAGCATCATTTTGAGCTACATTAGTCCTAATTTGCAGTGCAAAGAAATATTTGGATAACTGCAAACTAAAAATGTGTTTGCAGCTATTTACGTGAAGTTTTGGGAGAAAACACAGTTCTGTTTCTTATCATTTAAAGTTTCGTATTTGATGTGTAGAAAATGGTGATGTGACGAACTTCATTAGACAGCTATCAATCAGTTCTGGCCGGATTAGCTGGGTTTTTGAGTGTTAAACTCTAAATGATACCAAAAGATGTCTACTGTGATCATTTAGGCATGAATAATGTTCAGGAAAGAAACATTTTGGTCTCTGGTGAAGAATAAAGGCAGCGCAGGGCTGGCAGGAAATCAATTAAACATTGTCGGCAAACTTTGGCTTTTATTATAAAGTAAATACAACTTTAAGTGTTCAAGTGCTGTGTTCATGGAAACAGGTTCTCCTCACTCTGCTTCTCTGCAGCATGGGCGGTGTGTGCATGTGTGTGTGGCTTACCCTGAGGGTAGTGTGAACCAGTGGGAAGATCAGTGTAGTTCCACACTCCGCCAATGTTTTCCCACCGGGCCCACACATCAGTGGAAATGGTGTTGGTCATCCACCAGGCCTGAAGGTAAAGACAGAGTGTCAAAGTTTTTTAAATTGCAGTTGCATTGATGTGTACAACATTCCTGCATGCTGAGGTAAAGTTAATGAACAGGGGAGGAAGGAAAAATGGGGATAATTCAAAGCAGGAGTGTGTGTAAACATCACTGCAGAGCCAGAGTGTGTGTTCACCCTGTGTTCTGACATGTACTTGGGGGCAGCTGCAGGCAAAGGGACGACAATCAGAGGGAGGAATGCACATCCACCTGTCACTGTGGCATTCCACAGGTCTCACTCACAGTATGCAACGCTCGCTGCAACACAAGCAAGCATCTGACATATTTACGTGTCTAAGTGCATCGCGCCGTCTGACTGACACTTTGCCTGTAGTTTAAATGCACACACACAGATGCACTTAGTGGCCTCGGCCCGTCTGTCACCCAGAAATGTCAGATATGTGGCCCTGAGAAGAACAGCGGACCTTTGACAGAGCAGGAATGAGTGTGCCTCGAGTGCAGCCAATCACTCACAAGTCTTGACTCTTTGCTGTCTGTCAGCGTGCACATAACTCCTCAGCTCTGTCATCTTAACACTCAAACACGGGAGGAAGTCGGGGATTATGCAGGGACAATTACGCCTTCAGGTTGTGAGGTGTCTGTGTGGAGTGGGGGTGGGCGGTGTGACACTGAACAGGTGGCTGCGAATAAAACTCCAGCATTTAAAAACACGGCAAAATGCACTCACATTGTCGATGGTGGCCACCAGGAGGAGGATGATGCCGATGATGTGAACGACAAAGATGGCAGCGAGGAGGATCAGCATGATGACGGTGCTGGGGAAACAGAGAGAGGCACAAAAGGAAACTTGTTACACCACTTTGCTGTTTTTATTATGCAGGGTGGATATAACTGGAGGGCTCACTCAGCCTAGTAAAACAAATGACACACACGCACACACACACTGAACAGATTGGCAGCTACTGTGAGCAGAAAGAATCAAACATGCCTAATAACAAAGGCTCCACACTTCCTGCCTGGCTGCACAGAGGCAGCCATTAATGACAGCTCCAAGCACACACACACACATCTTCATAAACACACTCAGAGCAGCAAAGCAAGGCCAAACCCTGGCACCCACTCAGGGTGTGGCTTCACAACTTCTAATTACTCTGAGCTGCAGCTAACGCGCTCACACTGAAACGTCGAGATAAAGTTTCTTTTCGACATGTGCAGAGGTGCTGATGTGTTTCTGTGCAGACAGGAATCAGTAAACTAAATCAGTTGGGTGAACAGGTAGTGTTGGTGAAGACAGAGGGTGTCTGTGTGTGTGAAGGAGGGAAGTTCATGGCGGGCAGATGAGTTTGGGCTTGTCTTGTGCTTCCAAGAAGCCCGCCACTCCTTAAAATAACTGTAGAGAATACCTGCTACCCTTGCAGCCTGGCTGGCCCACGCCCGATCCCCCTGGTTTGAATTACGGCACGTTATCACACACTGTAACCCCCAAAACAATTAAAACCCTCTCCTCTGTGCCTCTTTAAAGCCTCTTTAGTGTAACTGCGATGGCTGTGCCTCCACAGGTGGCTCTGCTCTGAGATTTCACACATTTAATCTCTCTTTTTGTCGCATTTACACTCGTGTTTGAACGATCTGCATCCAGCACCGAGGCCGCACTGGGTGTGAACAGAGGAAGAGGCACATCTGGAATGCGCTGGTCTTTCCACCGTAAAGGAGTGGTCAAGGGCTGGGTCCTCTCTCTCACACACACACACACACACACACACACACACCAGCTCACTCACACGCAACCAAACACAGACGCAGAGGGGCACGCTGGTACATATGTGATCACGCCTGACACATCCGTACAAATATTCCACCAGCTTCAAACAACAAAGTGAGAGATTGAGTTTTTAAATATTTGTATAGTTTCTCCCTGAAGCGCTGAGAGAGCTCAGCCTTCTGCCAGATGACCAAAACTTTAATGAACAACTTCTGGATGGAAAGAAAAAATCCAAGAAGTGAAATGCTCAGCAGTTTCTTTAATGTAAAACACACTTGTGGAACACTTTGATCTTCCAAATTCTTGCCTGAAAACAAGACGTGTCAACTGGTGCTGCTGGGATTTTGAGACCAGGCCTGGATGTGGCATATTTTCCATTACGCCAAATGGAATACATGTGGCTGAGGCGAGGTTTGAGAATGCTAAGAAATCCAAAAAGCACGCAGGAAAGTCGTCCTGTGCCTTTTAAAACATTATTTCCACTCACTTTAGCAGTGGACACATCTGGAGAGCAGCCTCACCTGATGAGGGAGTTGCCTTTATCAATAGCAAAGTTGCCTGTGGGGGTGAACAGGTATGCTGAAGGTACACACCTGCCTTTACTGCTCCACAGTTGCTTTTCTGACATAAAAGCTGACGCAGAGTTCAATTTCAAAACCTCAGTGTTATCAGTCTGAAGCAGCTACAGAGAACAAGATAAACAGAAGGATCAAAAAGCACAAGAAGAATTTCTGACTTACTGTTTGGCAGCTGTGTGTCTCTTCAAGTCTAATTCCTTCTGCAGTCAAGGATACTAATGTCAGACTCTGAGTCTAAATGCACAAACACTAGGAGCTCCCCGTCCGCCCACTTTTACCCAGCCCTCTTTTTAAGTCCACACCCCAGACAGCCTCTGGCTTGCTTGATCATATAATCTGTTCCCTCCTCCTACACTGTGCTCCCTGTCCCACCCTCTCCTTCTCTCTGTCTACTTTACACACACTCACACTATTTCCACAACTTCTGTGGGTTAGGCAACATATATATATCTTTTTCCTTTTGTGCTTGGTGTCTCATGTCTTTGTCACTCGGCTGCTGCTGGTGGTGATTTTCTCCGGTGAGGGCAGCTGATGACTCACTGATGTTTGAGGGGGGAACTCCCATAACATTTATTGACAATGATTGTCCGCATGCTGCCATGGAGACAGGCTGCAGCCCGGGCCCTAATCACACTCACATCGTTGCTGGTGTATATATAAACAAAAAAAGTCAAACTTGGGTGCGTAAACACAGGCAGGCACAAGTGTAGAGTTTCTTCCTGATTGCCGCCCTCTTTCTTTTCCCGCTTTTGTTACAGAGGAAGGAGTTTCAGGATGAAGGAATGTTGTTGGTTGCGAGGGAGAAAGAGGTGGGGGCAAATGAGTGCAAGTCATAGCATGAGGGAAGGAGAGGGAGGCGATGAGAATGGAGGGAGGAAGACGTGAGGGCAATGAGAGAGGAATTTAAAGGGAGGAATAAGGGGGGTTGTTGGAGACATTTCACACTGCTGAAAGTTCATTAAATGCTACACACCATCATTATTACTTGTCGATTGATATGGTCCCAGTGATCCCAGTGAGTCATCTGCCTCTTGAACGGATCACATGTTTAGTTTGAGGGAGGATCTTTTTAACAGCCCTGAGAGTTCATCTGCAAATGTCCCATCGCATAATAACACATAATAACATAACTCGTTCGTCACTGAGCTCACTGATTACTAATGGTGGCCGCTGTGGCAAATCACTGACATCAGCTAGGCAGAGAGAAAATGTCAGAGCCTCATCGCTAACCATATCTAATAATCCTAAATGTCCACAAGTATCAGACACGCTGAGTGAAGACACTGTTGTCCTCAGAGGACTAGGTCAAAGAGCAGTGTCTTACATCAGGCTCAGATAAGAGGATCTCTGTATGTTGTACACATTCAGAATTTTAACAACTAATTCACAATGCAGCATTTAAATGGATTTTATGGAAGGAAACACCCTAAAAAACACCCACAAAATTACCATTTCTATATTAAAGAAGTATTTCACCACTGGAAAGATGGTCTTTACATAAAACCGGGCTGTCAGTGCAGCAGAAAGACACAAAAAACTCCAAAAGAAAACAGAGAAAAAGGACTGTGACATTTGCTTTTCCTCAAGAGGTAGAAAACCTACAACTACCAGAATGCACTGCACCGCTCTGGGCCAATAAACGCTCCTGCTGGTTGGTGATGTAATGCCAGCTCGGCCATTTTTTTACAGGAAACAATATGGCAGCCAGCAGGTAAGAAACAACTGAATTACATTTAAACAGTAAACTAAATTATGTTTCTCAGAACATTTTAGGAGAGAAATTTGCAGCACAGAAGCAGAATTTTGTTCATATTTGATCAGTGCTGCTTGGTTTTACTGTTTGGGGGCGGATCTCTTTCTTTCTAACTGCTTCTAAACACTTTGTGTGTGTGGCGGCAGGCATACGAAAATGCAGAGGTGCTATCTATAATTTGAGCAGCAGCCCTAGAGCTGGCTAAAATCTGGATTTGAGAGATCTGAGCGCGTTTACCATAGCTCATAGTTCTGATACAAAGCCGGTTGAAAATCGGCAAAATACCCTTTAAATACTTGCCCCATGTTACCTTGAATTCATGCCAGAAGCGTTGTTTTTCTCACACGCCTCCACAGTGAATGGAGAATCCAAAAAAGGCAAACCTTCTTTATGAACTGAAGTAAACAGGCGCTGCATTTAACAACAGCAAAACTATATCAGAACATCTGTTTACAAACTTTGACACAACTCCTGCAGCACAATCCAAGTGTCATTTACCATATATAAACACTTCTGCCTGTGTAGTGCATCCTGAGCATGCTTGCACATGTGTGTTTGAGCTTAAACACACACGTGTGCTCAGGGACGTTTTGTTTTTGATGTGTTTTAAATTGTAATGTTTTAGTGAAAGTGTGTGTGTTAGTGAGTGTATGACTGGATAAATGAGACTTGGATTGTACTGCACGAGTTGTGTGGGAGTTTATAAACTGATGTTTTGATGTAGTTTTGCTGTTGTTAAAGGTCTAGTGTGGAGGATTTAGCTGCATCCAGAACTGAAACTTGTGCTGTGTCAAGTGTGTTCTGAGCTACTGTAGAAACTTCATGGAGGAGTCTGTGGGAGAGGATGTAGATATAAACGGCTCATTTTAAGGTAACAAAAACTCTGATTCTTATTTTTTTAGGTGATTAAAAAATAATGAAACATAATTCTGAATATTATATACCATCTCTGCCAACAGGTGCCCCTGAATTCCTTTAAATGTGGACCCTGATTACTTCAATTCATGAAGAACGTTCACAGTTTTTGGATTCTTCATTCACCATGGAAGCATGTGAGAAAAATACAATTTTCTTCATGAAGTCAAGACAACACGTGGTGAGTAATTCATATATAAATGGTCATTATGCGGATGAAGTATTCCTTTAAGCCTCCGCAAATTGGCTTGATTTCTTTTAAAAACACAGGAAGACGGCAGTGAGCAACAGAAGAAGAAATGACCCCAAAAATGAGCAAGAAACTTGTAAAAGACAATATTAAAAACAAAAAAAATAGTTTGAAAAATTAAATATTATAATAATAATTGTTATTATTATAAATAAACTGTAGTTTTTCCTAGCTTTTGTCTTTTTTCCTTGTTTTTTTTAAAAAAAAATACTTTTCTATTTTTTTAATTTTTTTTTTGCAATTTGTGGGACATTTCTCACCAGGTTGCTCATTGCCTTTTTACCCATGTTTTTAAAAGAAATCACACCAACTAGCTCCTCACGGTTCAGAAGTTTAAACACTTGCGAAAGGCGTCTGAAAGCAACACAAGAAAAGTGATGTCACTCCAGGTTTTAAAGGGTTATGCAACCACCCACTCCCACTGAATATTTTTACGATAAGGATTGTGTAAGAAAAAAAAATCATGTCACATAAACTTCAAATTCGTACCACTGGACAAGTCAGGAAAATAATACTCTGGATATAAAAAATAAAAGCAAAACTCCATATAAAGATGAGCATGTTTTTTAAAGGATGAGGTCCTTTAACTATATATTTTTTAATAACACTGTGATAAGGTGCTAATTTAATTGTGAATTTGATCAAAATTAACACTGCTAATTTTAACAATTTTTATTTTAATATATTTATTATTTATTTACTTACTAATGCAAACTAATTTATACTTTTTCAAATATTATTTTTTAATTTCCTGACAAAGCAGATGTGTATGAAGTATGAATAAACAGTTTGTTTAAATGCCCCTAAAGGAATAGATTTTATAGTTTTACCATGTGGTTTGTTTGTTTTTAAACTGTTGTAAAGGTTGTGTGTGGGGACGTCTGTTGAGTAAAGACCATAAATAACTGAAAAACAACTCTTGTTCAGTATTAAGATTATTTACTTGAAAAACTAGAAACGCTGCATTTCCTGAAGAAAATGTAGGAGTGCAGCTGAAACATTCAAAATGCTAAAACACTGAAATAGTTTAAATTAAAGTGTCAGTCAAAACACAATTACTAAAAGAGGGTCAAATGGTTGGTTATGTCCTGTACAAACAGATTGAGCTGCAGAAACTTTAAAATCTCCATTTTACTTGATGGCTTTAAAAGTTTTTTCCACATGTTGTTGCTTTTCTTAATGTGAAACGTGTGTGTGAGTTCTCCGCGTGTCTCCCCATACTTACACTGTAATGTTTATTAGATCTTTAAGAGACGAGCTGTTTAAATAAAAATAACAATAAAGGTCTAAATACGAGAATCTGAAAGTGAGCGTGCTAATAAAAGTCAGGCAGCAAAGTCAGATACACAGACAGAAATACTCTGGGTGTGGACTGGCAGTCTGAGGTTACTTGTTTGCTTCTGGTGCGTATAAAAATATGCAGATACACCATTAGTGTGAGTCAAAGGCTCAGCAGAGTACCTGGTCAGTATCATGTCAGGCCGCCTCAGCCTCAGGTATGAGCCGGCAGGATAATAACAGGCTTCAGAAATAATTTACCTGCCAGTACAGTGACCCTGAGAGGCAGCAGAGCCTGCTGAGTTTATAGCGACGCTGCTTGTGTGGCTGCATTCTGCTGGGGTCATGGGGTTACACACACGCACATAAAAAAAAGAAATCACTATCGCCTGACTTCTCTCTTAGAAATGATACCAAGGCTCTTCTGCTTTTGTGACGGATAAAGGCTGTGTTTTTTTAATTGGTTGTCATGGAAAATAACCTTTTTCATATGTCGACGGAGAGACTCAGAAAGTTGGAATGCTAAACATAGCCGGCGCTGAATTGTTGAAGTGAATGATGCCTCTGCCATGGTAACACCTCGGGTTCCTGCGCCCTTTGCACATCACCCATTTCCATGACAACATTATCACACTGCATAGCAGCTGCAGTAAATATGTTACTATTTAAGAACACTGAATGAGAATTCATCCATTCATGTGCAACAGTGGGAATAGCTGCCACCACACCTTGATCATACTACTTACAGCGTCCCGCCCAAATCCTGGTGGGAAAGAATGTCAGTCCGCTGACGTTTGGCAATTCACGTTTGGAGCACAGTTGCTTAATCGCATCAAACTACACTACGTCTACTACGATACAAACAGCTCCGCCCGAGCTGCAGACAACTCCCTCCACTCATGCCAGGATGCAGATTCATACAGTTTGACTTTTTTTAATTTCACATCTTCTGCTTGTGAGACACGACCTGAGGATGATATCTGTGAGCAGGCAACTAGCTCTGCCAGGACGACAGGCCAACAAACATTAATATTTATTAGATTAAAAAAATAAACAAGGCAAATCCAGTCGCAGCAGCCCCACGCA